AGATAAATATTATAATCACATTTCTTCTGGAGCTGTCACAAATATTAAAAATTATAAAAAAGTGAAACTTTGCTGGTTTAAACATGACAAATATAAAAAATCTCTCTGATATCCCACCCTGTGTATTAAAAAAATAAAATAAAACCCACTGCCATCAACTCAGTACTGACTCAGAGACCTCCATTGTGTTTCCAAGGCAGTAAATCTTTACTGAAGTCTTCATTTCGAGGAGTGACTGCTGGGTTTGAACCACCAGTCTTCTGGTTAGCAATCAAATGCCTCAGAGCTCCTTATACTGTGTATATCTTATACATATTTTGCATCCCTGGCACCTAGTATTTTTTCAATCACCTAATAGGTTCTCCTTAAATATTTCTTGCGTAAATTAATAAAATCATATGGGACATGGAGAAGAACTGATAAGGCCATTGACTAATGGCCACAAAAATGGGTTTAACATTGTTGGAACATGGTCACACATGTTCAAGAGATTTGAACTTTTTATACACTTTGATTCAGCAACCCTATTCTTTGGAATTATGAAGAACAGAACTTCCATTTTCACCATTATTTTTAGAATTTAAGAGTTAGAAATAACCTATGTGTATATGGGAGCTCTGGTGGTTAGTGCCTAAGGTATTTGACTGCTAACCAGAAGGCTGGTGGTTCAAACCCACCAGCTGCTCCTCAGAAGGAAGACTGGACAATCTACCTCTCTAACGATGCTGCCTTGGAAACCCAATGAGGGGTAATACAAGCCAAAATAGACTCAATGGCAGTGAGTTTGTTTTTTTTTTTTTTTTTGTATGTGTATATCGTATGTGTGTGTTTTTATATACGGTGTGACTCTTGTGAGCTGTGGCTGTGTGTGCCTGTGTTTTTTTTTTGTGTCTTTCATATTTTCTGCCTTTGATGTTGCAATGTTACCACTTTTCTGTCATTCATTTTAGTGGAAAAAAAGTTGAGTTTTCCTTATCTGACTTTTCCTCATAACACAGGTTTTATCGTATTATATGAATTTCACTGAATGCCGTGCATCCACAAACATTATAAAAGTAAAACTATGTAGCTACGCATTGTTGTTGAGTACAGTGGAGAGTCCATTTTCAATTTATAGGGACATTTTGTGACAGAGTAGGACTAACTGTCTAATAGGATTGTCTAGGCTAGAATCTTTACAGAAGCAGATCATCATTTTTCTCTGTGAAGCTACTGAGGGTTTTCAAACTGGCAAATTTTGGTTAGCAGCCAAGCTCTCAACTGTTGCACCATGAGGGCTCCTTGTACCAATATGCAAAATTGGTTTGTATGAAGATAAGAATTTTTAAAAAATGATGTAAACATAATTTATTTGTTTAGTTGGTGGGCTTCTGAGTAAATTATCACTATTTTATTGCTTCTTTGTTGTGATATTTTCTATTTGGAGAGGAAAAAAATAAGTGTGTTACAATGGTTGGCTTTTTTGTGTATATCTTTGTGTCTGTGTCCTTATGTAGTGGGAGAGAAAGGAGGGCAATGGACCTATATTAAAATTTTATACCTATATTCTCTTAATTTTGAAGGATGAACAAATGGTTATAATTTCTCCAAAAGTGTACCATAAAATCCACTGCTGTCGAGTTGCATCAGACTCATAGTGACCCTTCCTTGGTTTTCCAAAGCAATACCACTATAGA